AGTCAGGTTCACAGAGGTCACGGCCCCTTCCTTCAGGTGAGGGTTCGCCTGCAGCCTGCATCGGTGCAGGGCGCAAGGGGGCGGCAGAGGGCAGGAGCAGCAGATAAAAGGGTTGCACACGTCTCCCTCCATCTTGCACATCCTTCCAGAGCCACCCCCACCCCCCACCCACCCCCCAGGCTGCCTTACCTCTGCTTTTCCTTCTCTCGGAATGCCAAGATGGAGCTTATGACCTTATGCTAGGAGGGTATGAGGTGAAACGTGAGCGCGACCCTGGCTGGGACAGGGCCTCCCGAATGCCCAGTCTCCCCACGGGCCACACACCAACTTCTCTGCCGCTGTGTCCTCAATGAAGCGTGAGGCATGGCCTGGCTTCCCAGTGCTGGTAACCCGTATCCCTGGAGGAACAAAGTTCTCAGCATCAGAGAGCTGGAGACACAATGAGCCCTACAGTGCTCTGAACTGAGCCCCTGGCATAGTGCAGGATCCTGGCAACAGTCAAGAGCTTGCCCTTAGAACCTAGGAAGGAGGCTGGGAGGCAAAAGTCTGGATGCCCCAGACATGGACTTCTAAGACAGCCTGTGCTGTGCAAGCCCTAGCTAGCCCTTTCTGGCCGAGTTGCCACCTGGCTGGAAGCGGCCCATGAGGGGTGAGGGGAAGCCATTCCTTAAGTAGCTGTCACAGTAACCACATGAAGCTACACAGCATAAGGGTGGTGCAGGGTGGGACTGGGTGCCTTGGTCAGCTGACCCAGGGGATGACTACAGGAAAGGAGGCGGGAGAGAGTGATTCCCACGCTCCAAGTCCATACTCACACCAAGGACTCCGTTCACTATAGAAGACAGTGAAGGCATCGGAGGGGTTGGCCAGGCCTGAGGGAGAAAGTGAGTATACACACAATGGAGTGACTCGGCTTCCCCTCGCAGCCTCTCTATACCCGGGAGGCTTGCCAACCTGCTCACCCTCATCCAGGGCAAAGCCTGCCCGCAGAGCCTGGAACTCAGGCCGCTTCACAAACAGCTCCATCCCTTTGTGACCTCCGACCTCCTCGTCTGTAAAAGTATCGGGATGAGATATGAGAAGCCTCACAGCACACTTTCCTTCGTCTCCTCAGAGATGCCCCTCCCCCAGCCACTCCTACCAGGCACAAAGGTCAAGTGGATGGTTCTAGAAAAGCGGTGGCCCTCACTCTTCAGTCTCCTCACAGCCTCCAGATACCTAAGGAAGCAGAGCTAAATGCTAAGGATACGCAGGGTGTAGTCTTGCGCCCTAGATACCTCCCTGCCATGTATTTCAGGGACTTCAGAAAACTCCCTGCTCCTTTCTGGTCCTGTTTCCCCGTACATAAATGGTCATGGCAGTAATCTCCACTTTATCTAGAAGGTCAAGATGATTCCTGCTTGGCCTGGGGTCTTCAGTCACATCTGTGTTCCTGTTGAGTCCAGAAGGCCAGCAGGAGACTGGGAAGGGAAGGTACTCACTGGATGCTGACACTCTTCATGTCCTGGGTGCCCCTGGCATAGATGTAGCCCTCGGAATCCTTGAAGGCTTCAAAGGGGTCATGATGCCAGTGTTCCTGGGAGCAAGGGTGGGAAGAGGGGCCGGGCAAAGAATTGAAATGGCGAGAGGGTTGGAAGAAGGCTAAAGAAAACAGCCAGCTGATTTGCATCCTCCATGTTCCCTGCCTTCACTCCCTCCCTGGCGCAGAACCCTTACTGGACAAAGGCTGCTTGTAAGAGCCATGCCAAGTGAATGTTAAGAGTTAGTGGTGCATGAGCCAGGCATAGTGGCGCACGCCTTTAATCCCAGGATTTATGAGGCAGAGGCGGGCAGATCTCTGCGAGTTTGACACCGAGCTGGTCTACATAGTGAGTTCCAGGACAGACAGAGCTACATAGAGAGACTCTGTCTTGGCTTGGGGAGGGGGGAAACACACAAACACAAACCCAAAACCACAACGACAACAACACCAAAAAACAGTGAAATCAGCACCATGGGCCCCTGGGGAAAATCCATGAAGTTTACACACTTTGTCCATCCTCCAGGCTTGCATACACCCATCTATACATACCTTAAAGACAGGTACCACGTCCGTATGGGAGTTTAGCAAGATGGAGGGGAGTGTGGGGTTGGTGCCTGGCCAGGTCAGCACAGTGATCACATAGCCAGGCACCACCTGCAGAGAGAGAGGACAGGAGGCAGTCAGCACCCGGTGACAAGGTGTCCCCAGCCCATCCCCACCCTCCTCAGGGTCCCTGGCTCACCTCGACTTTCTGACAGTTCAGGCCCAGCTGGTGGGCTCTTTCCTCAAGGAAGGCAATGACCGCCCCTGGGGAAACAGAGAGCCTTGGCACTGCTTTTGCTGGTACCCACCAGCCCAGGAAGCCCAGAGATATACAGAGGTGTGCTGGCCTCGAACTCACAGAGATCCACCTGCCTCTGCCTCCCGAGTGCTGGGATCAAATGTGTATGCCGCCACCACCGCCCCACTGGGCTGTAGCCTTTGGTAGACTGGGAACACGGTGTGACTGCCCCAGCCTCCCCACTCCACTCTGGCCCTCGAGGAGCGAGGCGAAGCCACTGCTTAACTAGCTGCCCGGAGTAACCACGTGAGGCCGCACAGCATAGGGAAAGAGGGGTGCGCAGTGGGTCTGGTTACCCTGATGAACTGATACAGGAAGGGGATGGCAGAGTGGGGCTCCACTGGGTGACAGGTGCTGAAGACAGTGTACAGCACACTCCCAGCCCTTGAGGCGCCATCACAAGCCTTATGACCCCGCATTCTCACCATAGTCTGGATTGGGCTGCACAGTGCGGATGCGTAGGTACTGGCGGAAGAGCGTCACGGAGGGGTGCTCGGACTCGGGACCCTGGGTGGTCATGGCGCTGCGTGCTGGTTTGAGCAAAGTCAGTAACTAGTTACCACTCCCATCTCCCGCCAGCAGCTGGGGCCTGATGGGTTGCACCTGCACTCTGGCCTTTCCAATGCTGCTCCCACGGGGAGGAGAAAACCTGGGCTTGACTCCCCCATTCTGTGCTGTGCTAGTTACTTTCTAAACATTTCCTCACGTCAAGGCAGTAAGTTTGTGCCTCTGTGGACCCACTTGACAAAAGAGAAAGCTGAGGCTTAGAGAGGTTCAGAGCCAGCTAAGGAAGTAGAACTTGGTTTCAATGAGACATTGACTCCCTACACCCTCCTCAAAACATTTCTTCCAAAGGGGGGGCTTTTATGCCACGGAGACCCAAATCCCTCAACCCCTCCCTAAGGTCCCCCAACCTTGCTCTCTCCAGGTTTCGGTCCTGCGTTCTCCTCTCTCAGGGACCTCTCGGAACCGTGGTCAGGACTCAGGGTCCACCGAGGTCGCAATCTTAAAACCGCCCAGATACGCCCACCACGTGGCCAGGGCGGGGTGGAGGGGCGGAGACTGGAGACTATAAGAGCCGTCCCAGTTCCTGTGGCGGAATCGGTACGGTTGTCCCGGCCTGGCTCTGTGTGGGGCCTGCGCGGGGTAACTGGATCCACCCCCTGGGTCCTCCTCGCTGCGGCCAGCTCCGCCTTCCCCATGCTCCGCCCTGAATCCTGGACCGCCAGCTCAGGATGGTCTCGCCCCCAGAGGATCCTCCTCCGCCTGCAGCCTCCGGATAGGGCAAGAAAAGAGGGCGGGGCCTGGCGCTAAAAGTCGCCGCAGCGGCTTTGGGTATTCATCTGCTTTCTCGGTGTCAGGCTGCAAAGTGCAGCCTGTCCCTCTGTCCTCTCTGTCCTTTTCTTGCCTCCACTCCTCTGGGAGGCCCTCCTAGATTGCCTCACTTTTATGTAGTTTTTTTTTAAACGTCTGCCCTCCCCACCCTATGAGTTCCAGGATGCCGATGTGGCCAGGGGGTTCTAACCCTGGCCAAGAAGAGTGGGCGTCTGGGCAAGGTGCCATAAATGAAAGACAAATGCCCGTATGGGAGAGCATGCGGCTGTGAACATGTTACGGTGTGGCTAAATCCGTGTAGCGGTGGATATGACAGTATGAGTCTGAGATAGTGGAGGTGGCAAGAGTCGTGTGCAATCGTGTGCACCAGGTACAATCATGACACCGCAGTTACGGGAGATTGAGAAAGAGCACCTTGGCTGACCCTACATCAAACCCTAAGCTCTTCCGCCTCCAGCAGAGAGAGAGAAACAGAGGCATAGCTGTTCCTCTGGCCACCAGCAAGCTATGTGTACCTGTAGCTGCCAACTTGGGCACCTAGCTGCTCTTTGTACTCACAGCAAGTTCTGCCCCTTGTTCCAGAGGCTGAGCCAACTTGGGAGGGAGAAGGGACAGAAGACTTCAACCCTGGGACCAAGGGAGCAGGCTGGGAGGATCCAAGAGGGGGCCATCCCACCCTCTTGGGGTTGAAGTCTCTGTATGCTCATCCCTAACAAGGAAGCAATCGGGTTTGGTGATTCAACAACAGCTTTAATTTTTTTAAATTTACTTATTAATGTATACAGTGTTCTGTCTGCATGTACCCCTGCAGGCCAGAAGAGGGCACCAGATCTCATTACAGATGGTTGTGAGTCATCATGTGGTTGCTGGAAATTGAACTCAGGACCTCTGGAAGACCAGCTAGTGTTCCTAGCCACTGAGCCATCTCTCCAGCCCCAACAGCTTTAATTCTCAAACCACACAGCATCTCCACGTTCATGTACTCTGCATTGCTCTCACGCAGTTGGGAAGTCATCTGTATTCTCTACCAATCGCCGTGGAACTGCAGCCACAACAACACCTTTAAAAGCTCCCTCAGTCCTGTTAGTAGGAATTTCACTTACCCACATTCATTTCTCCTGATACTGTCACCATGCCAATTTTATAGAGGAGGAAACTGAGACACAGAGGAGGGAGCACAGATTATGAGGACTTCCAGGAGCACCGCCTCCAGCCTCCCTATCCATCCCAGTGCAAATCCAGACCAGCCTCCCACCAGCAGCCTCCCCAGCACAAGTCAGGAAACACAATGTCACTCTCCAGGCGAGACAAAAGGGCTTTTCTTTATTGTGCCTGTGAAATGGAATCAAAGGTCCTGGCTGGGCTTGACCCTCTGTTCCCAATCCCACTCAGGGCCAGCCTCCCTGGAAGAGGAGAGAGGGTCTAGACTGTTCAGGGTCAGTTCTGAGAAGTGAGTCCACTCAAGGCAAATGGTCAAGAAACTCAAGAAGGGCGTGGTGGAAGGCTTCTGGACTGTGGAGGTAGCAGGCATGGCCCGCTTTGTAGAGCTTCACCACGGAGTGGTTGGGCAGGTGGTGGAGATGCTGAAGTGACTCTCGTGCCAACGTGTGGTCCAGTTCCCCATACATGATCAGAGTTGGGGTCTGCAGGCAAGGCCAGAAGATGTTGATCCTGGGGCTTGGTGAGGATCCAACCCACAAGCTATTCCTTTAGGGAGCCTTGTCCCCACGCTACAGCTCTTCCACCCAACTGCAGGGGCCAGCCCCCTAAGGCCATCCCCCATGTGACGGGGACAGAGTGCCAGGATCTCTCGCAGATCACTGTCTAAGTACCTTCACAGCCCAGAATTGCTCCTGCGTGTAATTCCGTGTGGAAGTGGGCGCAATGGGCACAAATCCACGGAGCTGGTGGTGGCTTCGCATCAAGAAGGGCAGGGCGTAGCTGCCACTCATCGAGGGGCTCACCAATACGGCGTTCTGCACCTCCAGGTCCCGCAGCACCTGCCTCAGCAGCTTCGCTCGCCCTGCCTCTGTGCTTGCTTCCTTGGAAGGCGCTGAGTTCCCAAAACCTGGGAACAGCAGCAGGCACTACCTGAGAGGAGCTAGGACAGCGGCTCTGAACCTTCCTAATGCTTCGACCCTTTAATACAATTCCTCATGTTGTGGAAAAACAATTTTTTTGTTGCTACTTCAATAGTGTAATTTTGCTACTGTCATGAATCATAATGTACATAACTGATATGCAGGATATTTGATATGTGACCCCCAAAGGGAGCTTGACCCACAGGTTGCGAACTGCTGAGTCAGGAATTGCTCAGGACTTCCTGCCCATCACGGTGGGGGAACGAGCTGAGGACCAGTGGCACATACACATTCTACCCCAGCCGTTCTCAGAAAAGTTTTCACACTACAATAGGCCCAGCGGAAACTCAGTTTTCCAGCAGGTGAGATGGCTCAGTGGCTAACAGCACCTGCTGCACAAACCTGGGTGACTTGCATCTGATCCCTGGAACCTATGGGGTGACAAAAGGAGACTGGCTCCCATAAAGTGTCCTCTGACACACACACAGAGAGAGAGAGAGAGAGAGAGAGAGAGAGAGAGAGAGAGAGAGAGAGAGAGAGAGAGAGAGAGAGAGAGAGAGAGAGAGAGTGCATGCAGGGTTGGGAGAATGAACACCCGACGTATACATTTACACTTTACTTTCCTGGCTATACCATGACTTGTGGGTCAAGCCAGATCCTGAAAACCTCCTACACTGTTAATGCTGCAGTGTAGACCATGGGAGACATGGACAGCTTTGTATGCTCATTCCTCAATTGGTAGATTTAACATTTTCAGTGTCACCTGAAATACCCAAATATCTCTAACCCACGCTTCTTTCAACAGAGAGAGCTGGGCATGGTGGCACATGATTTCAGCACTTAGGAGGCAGGCGCAGTGAATCTCTGAATTCAAGGCTAGCCTTGACTACAGAACAAATTCCAGGACAGCCAGGGCTACACAAAGAAACCCTGTCTCAAAAGACAAACAAACAAAAGAAACATTTGGAGGCAATACTTTCTCTAGGTTTTTTTTTTTTTTTTTTTTTTTTTTGGTTTTGGAGGCTGTCCTGGAACTTGCTCTGTAGACCAGGCTGGCCTCGAACTCACAGAGATCCGCCTGCCTCTGCCTCTGCCTCCGAGTGCTGGGATTGTTTCTCTAGGTTTTAAGTTTTTTGACAAATACTATGTTACCTTTCAGAAAGGCTATATAGATTTATCCTTCCAAAGGTAGATGCCCATTCCTTACATCTTCCTAACACTGATTATAATGACTGAAAGATGTTTCTCCTTTTTTTTTTTTTTTTTTTTTTTTTTGGTTTTTACGAGACAGGGTTTCTCTGTATTGTTTTGGAGGCTATCGGTCCAGCCCAGCCTCTAACTCACAGAGATCCGCCTGCCTCTGCCTCCCGAGTGCTGGGATTAAAGGCGTGCGCCACCACTGCCCAGCTCCTTTTTTTTTTTTTTTTAATTGTTTTCTTTTTTGGTTTTTCTTTTCTATTTATTTATTACATATACAGTGTGCTGCCAGAAGAGGGCACCAGATTGACTTGTAGATGGTTGTGAGCCACCATGTGGTTGCTGGGAATTGAACTCAGGACCTCTGGAAGAGCTCTTAACCTGAGCCACCTCTCCAGCCCCCCCTTTTTAAAAAGATTTATTTATTTATTATGTATACAGTGTTCTGTCTGCATGTCTGCAGGCCAGAAGAGGAACCAGATCTCATTATAGATGGTTGTGAGTTTCTGGGAATTGAACTGAGGACCTTTGGAAGAGCAGTCAGTGCTCTTAACCTCTGAGCCATTTCTCCAACCCGATGTTTCTCCTTTAAAAAAATTTTTTATTAGTTGTTTTGTGTGTGTATGTGTCTTCTTTTTTTTTTTCCTCTCTGTATAGGTGGGTTGCCTGGGGCCTTGCATAAGCTAGGCAAGGACTGTACCATTGAATTATATTCCCATGCCTTTTTTATTTTTATTTTGAGACAGAGTCTCTATTAAGTTGCCAGGTTATCTCTGAACTTACTCTATAGTCTAGGCAGGTCTTGAATCTGGGATCCTCCTGCCTCGGCCTCCTGAGTTGCTCAGATTATAAGTCTGTACAACCAGGCCCACATGTGTCTCCATGCTTGGAAATGCTGGAAAGTGGGGGCTGCCACTCTCAGATGCTTAGAGACGGGAGAGAGGTGTTATTGGTTTCTAAGGACTTCACTTTTTATTTGTCTTCTTCTTTTGGTTTTTCAAGACAGGGTTTAAAACAGCTCTGGTTGTCCTGGTACTTGCTTTGTAGATCAAGCTGGTTTCAAACTCACAGAGATCTGCCTGCCTCTACCCACTGAGTGCTGGGATTAAAGGCATGTGCCACCTTGCCAGGCAGGACTTCATGTGTTTAAAAAATATTAATTTAGGGCCGGGTGTTGGTTGTGCACGCTTTTAATTCCAGCACTCGGGAGGCAGAGGTAGGCGGATCTCTGTGAGTTCAAAGCCAGCCTGGTATACAAGGCAAGTTCCAGGACAATCTCCAAAACAATACAGAGAAACCTTGTCTCGAAAAACAAAACAAAAAAATTAATTTAGCTGGGCATTGGACTTTAATCCTAGAACTCAGGAGGCAGACTCAGGAGAATCTCTGTGATTTCAAGGCCAGCCTGGTCAACAAGGCAAATTCCAGAACAGCCAGGACTGTTACACAGAGAAACCTTGTCTCAAAACAAAAAATACTGATTTTATTTTTAATTTATATGTGTATCTCTGCATGTAGGTTTGTGCACATGAGTTCAGGTTCCCTCAGAGTCTAGAAGAGGGCACTGGATCCCCTGGAACTGGAGTTATAGGTTTTTGTGAGCTGCCTGACATGGGTGTTAGGAAACAAACACAAGTCGTCTCCAAGAATAGCTCATGTTCAACTGTGGAGCCTCTCTCTAATCCCTGGGCCACCCCTCACCTCTGTTTTCATTTTTAATTAGAAGAATGCTACCACAGGGCTGGAGGTGTAGTTTAATGGTTGAGTACCTTCCTAGCATTCTTGAGGTCCTGGGTTCAATCCACAGTACTGGAAACAACAACAAAACCAGAGGACAGCATAGTCCACGTGTACAGTTAATAAAACAAAACCAGGTGGTAAGGTTGCTTAGTGAGCGGGTAAAGGGGCCAAGACTGACAATCTGAGTTTGATCCCTGGAACCCACAGGGTGGAAGGAAAGAACCAACTCTCACAAGTTATCTGCTGACTTCCAAGGTGTGCCCCCCTTAAAAAGCTACAAAAATTACATAGTCACAAAAGCACAGTGAACCCCCCCCCAGTGGCTGCTCATTAAACAAATCCCTTTTCTGTTTTCTCAATGACATACAACAACTCACACTGTAGTTTCTGAGGTAGAAAGCAAAAACAGGCTTTTATTGAGGTGCCTTCTTGTGACCTGCAACTGGTTTGTCTGGACATGGGGTCCCACATGCCCCTGCTTTACCTGAGGGCTTTGCTACCCTACCCCTCCAATTCTCCCTTCTGGCGACTGCTCCTTAGTTTCTGCTGCAGCCTGCTTTCTCTAAACTTGAATGTGGGGGTACTCACCTGGAAGGTCAATGGCCACGGCCCGGTAGCCCCTCTTTGACAGTAGCTGCAGCGTACCCAACTGCTCCCATATGTGGGAATTAAATGCCTTTCCATGGAGAAACACCACTTCCGCCCTGCAGATGGGGAAACGTGAGGCATGGGACATGGACAGCCACCATCCTTTCTTCTCAGGCATCTGTCACTGCCCTCCAGGCTCCTGAACCCTGCGAGTTGGACTGGGGTCCCTCCATTAAACCCTTGGCTAATTACTTACCTGTGTGTTTGCTGGAGAGGCAGCACCTCACGGTAAAAGATTTGAGAGTGGCCTCGGGTGAGACCAGCCAGGACTGTGACATTGGGGCCTCTCCAGAGCTGGGAAGTCTGCTCAGGCGGGCCAGGCAGCCCCACATACAGGAGAAGCATGAGCAACAGGCCTAGACCCAGCAGGGCTGCCTGGTGCCGGCTCATGAAGGTCTGTACCACACAGCCTGGAGGAGAAAGGGAAGAGACGGGCTGAGGAAGACCTTGATGCCTCTTCCCTTCCCTCGCTCTAGATGAATGTCTGGATGATCATACCCAACTACTCCTCAGGCCAGGACAAAGGCCTGGGACACTCCACTATGTGTGTGAGTGTGAGTGTGAGTGTGTGTGTGAGTGTGTGTGTGAGTGTGTGAGTGTGTGTGAGTGTGTGTGTGTGAGTGTGAGTGTGTGTGAGTGTGTGTGAGTGTGAGTGAGTGTGTGTGAGTGTGTGTGAGTGTGAGAGTGTGAGTGTGTGTGAGTGTGTGAGTGTGAGTGTGTGTGAGTGTGAGTGTGTGAGTGTGAGTGTGAGTGTGTGTGAGTGTGAGTGTGTGTGAGTGTGAGTGTGTGTGAGTGTGTGTGTGAGTGTGAGTGTGTGTGAGTGTGAGTGTGTGTGAGTGTGAGTGTGTGTGAGTGTGAGTGTGTGTGTGTGAGTGTGAGTGTGAATGTGTGTGTGTGTGTCCCGGCACAGGCACGTTTAGTGGCCACCATCATCGCTGTGCTAACCACAGCCTTTGTGCTTGACTGTCTACATTAAGCACTTAGAAGCCAGAAGAAAACATAGGGAGCAGATCTGGCTACAGTTCTCTGGCACAAGGAATCCAGGCTCACAGATGAATTCTCTACCTCAGCAGAAGCAAGGGACTGGGGACCTGGGGCTAGTTTCCAAAACACCAGGCCAGTACTGGAAAAAAACAGTATTGGCAGGAGACGGATGGACTGGAGACTCAGTGGTGGGTGGAGGAGTGAAGACTGCAAGAGGTGGGGATGGGATGTCCCTGTCTTCATTTATTTGGGCTTAAGATGAGCAAGTTTGTCTTGTTTCTGGGTGTATTTTCTTTCTTTCTTTCTTTCTTTCTTTCTTTCTTTCTTTCTTTCTTTCTTTCTTTCCTTATTTATTCCCAAGAGAGGGTTCCTCTATGTGACCCTGGCTGTCCTGGAACTCAATCTGTAGAGCAGGCTGGCCTCAAATTTACAGAGACCCATCTACCTCTGCCTCCCAACTGATGGAACTAAAGGCATTGTGCCACCACTGCCTGGCTCTGGATGCATTTTTATTGAGTGTAAATCGAGTCTGTGGTAGGTCTAGAAGCTAGAGCCTGCACTGAGCCACACCTACCTCTGCTGAATCTGTGGGACTCTTCTGGAGATCTCACTCTCTGGCTCTGAAGTCAGGAAGCCTGTGGGTAGCAGTAGATCCTCCAGTGCTGATGGGAAATCAGGAGCCAGGTGGAGAAGGAGAAGGCTCTTCTTCCTAAACCAGAGCAGCCAATGTTGTCTGCCTCCAACGCGGCTTTAGCTCAGGTTCCCAGGAGGCCAGGGAGCATCTGAGAAGGACCTCTCTTAGTGGTCCACCAGGGCCAAACCTGTGCTTCTTTTAGGATGAAAGGGTGGGGTTTTGTTTGTTGCCATGGCAACCCAGGGCACCCAACACTATACAATTGTTGGGGTTCTGATGCAGATTGCTGGGCAGATGAAAGACAGGAGGAGTAAACTGCGCTTGTTCTGGATACTGGAATGTGTACACACTCACACAGAGACAAGAGTCTTGCTTCCACACATATCAAGAAGCTATTCCCATGCCTTTGATCCCAGCACTTGGGAGGCAGATACAGGTGGATCTGAGTTTGACGCCAGCCTGGTCTGCAAAGTGAGTTCCAGGAGAGCCAGGACTGTTACACAGAGAAACCCTGTCTCAAAAAAGAAAAGCATTAGGCATTGGTAGTGCACGCCTTTAATCCCAGCACTTGGGAGGCAGAGGCAGGCAAATCTCTGTGAGTTCGAGGCCAGCCTGGTCTACAGAGCGAGTTCCAGGACAGCCTCCAAAACAATTCAGAGAAACCCTGTCTCGAAAAACCAAAAAAAAAAAAAATCCCCAAATGTACAGCAGCCTCTTTGCCCTCACACTGGCCTATGGGCAGTCAGTTTCTTAAAGTAACATCCACAAAATCACATGCATGGCTGTGTTGACAGTCTCCTCTGAGGTCAAAACATTCCACGTCTCAGGGGAGCTCCTTAAGCAGGGAGGTAAACAACCAAAAATTAGCTTTGGGCTGGAGAGACGGCTCAGAGGCTAAGAGCACTGATTGCTCTTCCAAAGGTCCTGAGTTCAATCCCCAGCAACCACATGGTGGCTCACAACCATCTACAATGAGATCTGGTGCCCTCTCCTGGCGTGTAAGCAGACATGCAGGCAGAACCCTGTACACATAATGAATAAATATTTTTTTTAAATGAGCTTCAACAACTCCCTGAAACTGATCAGATTCATTGGGCCCCTCCACACCAGGTAAATAATAAAGGGTGAGATTCTCTCTCCCACCAAATAAGGCTAAGCTACAAAGAAGACTCTGAGACCAGAGCAGTTCTGAAGAAGGAGGAGGAGGAGGAGGAGGAGGAGGAGAAACAACCAACCACGAGGTGAACTGCCTGGAAGGGCTTTAGACCAGCCGAGTCACTTGGAAAGGACACTCTCTAGCCTGTTGAGCTATCTGCAGGCTATGCAGTGTGCTCCTAGCTCCCAGCTTTTGTGAACTGTTACCCATGCTAGGGTGGGCTCTGGTGATGCAGTTGTCTTTGATTCATTTCTGCTCCTGTAAGTAACCCCAATAAAAGTGCTTGGTTTGGGCTGGAGAGATGGCTCAGAGGTTAAGAGCACTGACTTGTCTTCCAAAGGTCCTGAGTTCAATCCCCAGCAACCACATGGTGGCTCACAACCATCTGTAATGAGATCTTCTGGCCTGCAGGGATACATGCAGACAGAATACTGTATATGTAACAAATAAATCTTAAAAAAAAAGTCATTGGTTCACCAAGGCTTTGGTGGTATCCGTACTTTAGTCTGCCATGGCTCCCTATCTGGAGCGAGTAAACAACTGTGTTTTGTCCCCAGGAAAAATTTTGTCACCCAACAGTCAGTTATCAGGAAGGCAGAGAGATGGACACATGTATCTCAAAACCATATACAAGCCAGGTATGATGTCATACGGCTTTAATCCCAGTATTCAGGAGACAGGCAAGAGGATCTCTGTGAGTTTGAGGCCAGCCTGGTCTACATAGGGAGTTCCAGATCAGCCAGGGTTACATAGAGAGACACCCTTTCAAAACAAAACAAAAACAAACAAATGAAAACCCATACTCAGGCATGGAAGCTAGAGAGACTGAGACAGGAGGATTATAGGTTGAGGCCAATTGGGCTGCTTCATAAGACCCTGTCTCATAGTAAACAAACAACACCAAACATCCCCAAAACCACACGCAGACCCTCAGAGTATTGAAGCACAAAATCATACCCAGTCTGTAACCCACACATAAGCACGCACTCCCGGCCTCAGAGTGTAGCACTCAAGTAGAAGGATCCACACAGCAACAAACACTCAAACAAACAAAACACAACAACAAAGACAGAAACAAGTGTCCAAACTCAGGAGTATTGGATGTTCAAGACCTAGCTAGGCAACGTAGTGAGACCCTGAACTAAATAAATAAGGGTAATGTGATGGCTCAGTGGGTAAAGGCATTTGCAGAAAAGGCTGACAACCTGAGATCAGTATCCAAAACCCATGGGAAAGAATCAAACTGAGCTCTTACCTCCATACACACCCCATTGTATCCGTTCACACACACCCCAAAATAAAATATTAAAAGGAGCAGAGTTACAGATAAAGGCACTTGCTGCCAAGCCTGACAATCTGACTTTATTTAATCCCTGGAACTCACATGGTGAAAGATGAACGGACTCCAGCAAGTTGTTCTCTGACCACCCCCATGTTCCCAAAGACCCAGGGAAAGACGCACTACCTAGCAAGCAAGAACCTGGGGGGCAGGCATGGCAAGGAACGCACCAGCAGAGCGACACACAGAAACCTTATGAAACAACACGTCAGATGCAGAGATAAACACACAAAAGAGACATACAAGCAAGCAGGCAAGCCGGTGAACACCCCACCCCACCCCACCCTCGGCAAAAGCGAAGAGAAACACTTAAACCCAGACATTCAAGAACACACTCAAGACACTCGCGCGCGCACAGCACAGGAACACTGCACACGCGTTGCCCAGCGCTGGCGCCTTCCGAAGGACTCTGCCCCAAGCGGCGGGGACAAGGATGACCGGCCCCCGGACAACCTGCGGGCCTCCTTCCCGGGAGACACTCACCGTGTTAACAGGGGTGACCAGGCGGGCTCCGGTGAGGCGGGGCCGGCCGAGGCGGAGCCAACAGCCAAACAGCCCCGAGTCTGGCACCGCCTCCGGCTTGGCTAACCAGCAAGGCCAAAGTCGGTCCACCCCTGAGCGCCTGCGCAGTACGCAGCTGCGGGCCTTGCCTAGTTACCGAACTTGGGGCGGTGCCCCGAGACACCCAGGCCCGCCCCTAGCGGCCCAGATTTTCGGAATTGTTATGGGTCTAAGGCCTGAGAGCCTGTGGAGAGCCACTGGTTCTTCACTTTTTATCGTTTTGTTTGCAAAATGGGTTTTAAGAAAAGACCCACCGCACAGGGATGTCATAGGACTTACGGATAGGTCAAGCCTCGGAACACCAAGGCCTCCTGGCACCGAGGTCTAGTGGAAATGCCAGATGATGTCCAGGCTTCCGCGCAAGCACTTTCTTTCCTCGCACCATTCCCCTGCCTTGAGGGAGGAGGGCGAGTTCTGGGTCTGCTCAGTACACTTATTATTGGTTGGTAACCTGTGACCAGCATCTGGTCGGCCCCCAGGTTCAGGCTTCTGTGTTGCAACCAGGCCCCGGGGCAAGGAGGGCGCAAAAAGGTTCACTACTTGTTGGTATTCTGCCAAGGTTGGCATTAACCAGATCATTCTATAGGCTCAGAAAAGACTACTATGCCACCTGGCTGAACTTGGACGGAGCCTTCCAGGCTGGTACGTAACGTAGGCTGTCAGCTTCATGACAGGTGCACAGCTCGTCCCTGGACTGTCCTGACTCGGGGTGAGGGCGGTTTAGGGGGGCGGACAGCAGGGATACCAGAAATAGCTTTCTCCTTCAAGGCAGGCCACTTCCGTGTGGGGCAGATAGCTGAGGGTTTCTAGATCTTCAGCCCAGCTTTTGGGGCACTTGGGGCTGGGGGCGGGGCTGGGGAAATAGACTCAGTCGGAGAACTAAAGGTTAAGGTGTCATTTGCGGTAGTTTGTGACCAAAAGAGGGCGCCCGGGATCCCCAGTCCTGTCCCCACCCCCTGCCCGGCCCCTTTCCTACTTTTCTCCCCACCCGCCAACAGCACTCGCCATTCTCCTGCTGAAGACCACGCAACCCCCAGGTATCACTCTGCTCTCTCCACTCTTTCTTTGTGTCTCCACTCAGAACCCGCGTGCCCCAAGCCTTCTCATCTCGGCTCTCCAGGTCACCTCTCTCTGGGCTGCCCCTCCTTCCAGTGCTTCCTTCAGACAGTTCCAGGAATCGGGAATTGTGGGGCGGGCACGGAACGCAGGTCACTGCTGCGTCAACCGGTTGGGCTCCAGCGGCCAGCACTCTGTACACCCCGCGTCCCTGGCATTCAGGAATTCCAAAGTTCTTGCCGACTGGTGCATGTGTTTCTGCCTCTGGAAAATGGGCCTTTATCCCAAGCAAACTTGGTCTCACTCCTGCCTGTATTGCCAGTTCACCTACCGTATGATAGTGCTGGGTTAGATGAGGCCAATCAAGACAGTATTTATTCTCGATTGAGCACTTAGTATGTTCCGGGCATGTATGAATCATGTTTTTGTTTTTTTTTCGAGACAGGGTTTCTCTGTAGTTTTTGGAGGCGGTCCTGGAACTCGCTCTGTAGACCAGGCTGGTCTCGAACTCACAGAGATACGCCTGCCTCTGCCTTCTGAGTGCTGGGATTAGAGGCTGCGCCACCAACGCCCGGCCTTTCTTTCTTTTTTTTTTTTTTTTTTTTGGTTTTTCGAGACAGGGTTTCTCTGTAGCTTTGGAGGCTGTCCTGGACTCGCTTTGTAGACCAGGCTGGCCTCGAACTCACAGAGATCCGCCTGCCTCTGCCTCCCGAGTGCTGGGATTAAAGGCGTGCGCCACCAACGCCCGGCTCCGGCCTTTCTTAAATTCCTAATTCTGCCATATTTCAGCTAAGCCAGTCAAAGTCCAACATCACACAACTGAGTGGAAGAGGCAGAGGTAACACCTGCTTTTCCTGACCATAATTCAGATCTTAGGGACTGGTAGTCACCTAACTGCTCCCTGCTGTCCCCAGGCAGGGTGTTCTCATCAGCCTGGCTTTGAACTGCAGGCACACCACCATCGAGCATGGCCAGTGTGGATCAGCAGGAGGGCACCATCCAGGTGCAGGGCCAGGGACTGTTCTTCAGAGAGGCTCGGCCTGGCAATGGGCAGGCTGCTCGGTTCTCTGTGCTGCTGTTGCACGGTATCCGATACTCCTCTGAGACCTGGCAGAACCTGGGTACTCTGCATAGGCTGGCAGAGGCTGGCTACAGGGCTGTGGCCATTGACCTACCAGGTACTTCTGGGTGGGCTTCTGGGCCAGGGTTGGGGAAGACTTGAGGACAGAGGACTGGAAGGCTTCAGCCAGGCAGGGCCCTGAGCTTGACAGTTAGGCATATACTGCATTTGAACTTTGAACCTGTCTAGTCTTGCTCTGGTTGGTAGGGTCGATAAACTAACTGTTGAGCTGCTTTTCACTGTTTCTGAGCCTGTGTCTCAGTGTCTCTGGGCTTCACTGTACCATACCACAGCAGGAGGAGGCTGTCCCTAGTGAGCACAGAGGGAGGTTGTCGCTGTGAATGTACTGCGGAGTAGTGATGGTGCTCAGATGAGCGGAAGTAAAGTACCCTGACAGAGCCTTACTCACAGGCTGGTGGAAGGCTTGACAGTAAGGCTTTCGGGGCCTTGGGAAGCATGACAGGGCCTGATGGGTGGCTAAGTACCTGGTCACCTATTTGCAAGGAGAGTCCTTGGGCACTGCAGGAGGAGGGAATAGCTTCCAGATTGCCTGCCCTAACCTGGATCACCAAGCCCCACCCATCTTAGTGCCTAGTGAGAAATTGGAGCCATAGCCTATCTGAGTGAATCTAATCCCCTCACGTGTGAGAGCTGATATGGTTTCAGGTTTCAAGGGCAGATATCCACCCTGGCCAGGCTTGCTTCCAACAGTGGGTTGGGCTGAGCTTCAGAGTGAAGGTCCACAGCTAATGTTGTTAGGGGGGATAACGGGTGGGTCCCAGCGCAGAAGCATTCCCCTCAGGACCCCATCTGGTGTCAGTTCAGAGCTAGGTGCCTTTTAAACAGTTTTCACATGTTTAAATGGCAGGGACGTTCCTCATTCCTTTTAAACAGAGAGGGGAAACTGGGCAGCTGTGGAGGGCTGAGAGGTCTGACCTGTGGTCATCTCTGTAGTAAATGGAGAACTGGGACTTAGACCTGTCTTGGATAGACTCCAGAGCTTGATTCTTTTTCAGGACACTGTTAGTAGGAATGCAAACCTGGAAAAAAGTGCCTCATTCTTGCCACAATATGGTACAGTGGGCTGTGGGTGTGAATGAACCCAGTCCACCGGTGTTACATGAACCTGGGCACAGAAGGATTGGCCGAGGAGCACTTGCTGAAAGAAGTGCTTTCCATTCATTGCCTTTGTCTCTCCTACACCTGGATCCCTGCAGGTCTTGGGCGTTCCAAGGAAGCAGCAGCCCCCGCTCCTATTGGGGAATTGGCCCCTAGCAGCTTCCTAGCTGCTGTGGTGGATGCCTTGGAGCTGGGATCCCCAGTTGTGATCAGTCCATCATTAAGTGGCATGTATGCACTGCCCTTCCTCGTGGCCCCAGGCTCCCGACTCCGGGGCTATGTACCAGTGGCTCCGGTCTGCACGGACAAAATCAAGGCTGCTGACTATGCCAGTGTTAAGGTACAGTGTGTGTGTGCGCGTGCATGCGTGCGTGTGCGTGTGTGTGTGCGCGTGCATGCGTGTGTGTGCGAGTGTGTGTGTGAAGCTGAGGTGGCATGTCAGGAGCAAGGTGGAGTCCATCCGTGGGCCTTCCTCAACTGGAAGCTGGCTAACCAGTGGGGTGGTTTCTGGGGAGATCTGACCACCTAACTCCTTTGGTTGACTTGATAGATTACATGCCAAAGCCTGTATAAAACTGTGTACTGGGGAAGGTACAAATTCAGGTCCCCACCACTGATCAGCTTATCTGTCCTTGGGTGGGCAGGAAGAACTTAGGAGACTGGGGCTGGTGAGGCAAGCCCCTTGATTCTGCCCTCCTTTTCTTTCTCTCAGACCCCAGCTCTGATTGTATACGGAGACCAGGACCCCATGGGTTCCTCCAGCTTTCAACATCTGAAGCAGCTGCCCAACCACAAAGTGCTGGTCATGGAAGGGGCGGGGCATCCTTGCTACCTGGACAAGCCTGATGAGTGGCACACAGGGCTGCTGGCTTTCCTGCAGGGGCTAGCATGAGACCCAGTCCTGCTGAAAGGGGTGACGGCCTGCCTGCTCTGGGATCTCCCACTGTCTTCTGGTCTCTGGCTTGAACCTCACCTGCAACAGGTCTGTCTATACATCTGCCTGGGTTCCTGTCATTTCTGCTTTTCTCTTGCAGTGAGTGACAGGTAAGATCAAGGAGGTAAAATCAAGTGGATGAAGCCTCGGGTTCAAGGGGAGAAATCTGATTGCGGGTAATCCATGAGCTCCTCCTATGGGCTTCCTTGCTTGGAGAAAACTGATTGCGGGTAATCCATGAGCTCCTCCTACAGGCTTCCTTGCTTGGAGAAAACTGATTGCGGGTAACCCATGAGCTCCTCCTACAGGCTTCCTTGCTTGGAGAAAACTGATTGCGGGTAACCCATGAGCTCCTCCTACAGGCTTCCTTGCTTGGAGAAAACTGATTGCGGGTAACCCATGAGCTCCTCCTACAGGCTTCCTTGCTTGGAGAAAACTGATTGCGGGTAACCCATGAGCTCCTCCTACAGGCTTCCTTGCTTGGAGAAATCTGATTGCGGGTAATCCATGAGCTCCTCCTACAGGTTTCCTTGCTTGGAGAAAACTGATTGCGGGTAACCCATGAGCTCCTCCTACAGGCTTCCTTGCTTGGAGAAAACTGATTGCGGGTAATCCATGAGCTCCTCCTACAGGTTTCCTTGCTTGGAGAAAACTGATTGCGGGTAATCCATGAGCTCCTCCTATGGGCTTCCTTGCTTGGCTTTCACTGCCTTCCTTTCCTTTCCCTTCACCTCCTTCCTCAGCTGCCGGGCAGGCCAGACCTTCCCTGCACTCCCCCACCCCTCTTAGGCCACAGAAACATACACATATGAATGTTTGTTTAGATTTATCCCACACCCAAACAGAGCCCTTCCCTCGGGAGCAGCACGTGGGTCTACATGCTGGGAATGATACCCACATTCTTGTACATTTTGCATCGCATGCTTGCACAGGTGCACGTGCAATTCCCTGTGAAGGAAGGTGAGAACCTCCTTATGAGCCAGTCTTTGTAAAAGACCCACCTGTCAGGGTAAGGATGTGGCCAGCCCTAGATTTCTCTCACCTACACGTTGCAACTGGTCCCACACTAGAATTGCTTCCTCAGAAGGGGAGGTACACTCCTCTGACTTTCAAATATCCTCGTTTATCTTTTCCCCTTCTTTTTGGGGGGCTGCACACCTCCCCAGGTCATCAAGGCTGCATCTTCTCAGCCAAGCTTGTTTCCTGCTATGAGATTTGGGGGGTGGGATGCGGAGACCGACTGTGGAAGTCCCAGAAATAAAGTGATGCAATTAGACCTCACATGCTTTTGCTGTCTCTGGAGCGCCGCCCCTCCCCCTTCCCCTTGGGACTGCCACTGTGGGCTCCTCCCCCACTCTGGCGGGACCAGATGGTTCCCCCTGCCCTTTGTCCACTAGGCCAGATGGAGGGAAAGAGAGATTGGATTCCCCTCCCCACCCACACACACCCAGGTGCCAAGAGATTCAGCTTAGGGGGGAGGTGGAGGTCAGTGGGACCAGCATGAGCGGATTACGGAAAGGGGGAGAATATCTGCTCGGAGATGGGGGAGGGGCAGGCTCAGCACCCCCCTCCACACGCACTCGTATCCCTTTCCTAGTAAAGGATCTAATGGCGATTCGTCCCTTATAACCCTAGGTCCAAAAGGAATTTGGCAGTAGACTTGGGGGGATCACGGGACTGGGTGCTTAAGGGCCACACCGCTTTCAGGCCCCTCCTCCAGCTGGTCCGGTAACCTGTCCTAGGCGGACTAGGGCCGGATGGTGCGGAAGCCGTAGGTGGTCGATCTTGTAGGTTTGGACCCCGGAGTGAAGCATGGAGAAGCGAGAGCCGGGGCAGGGCGTAGGGCTGTGGGACCGAAGCCGGGAGGCGCGGCCCGGGCTGAGATGAAGGCTGCGGGGAGCTCGGCAGAAGCGCTGGGCGGGAAAGACAGCGAGAGCCACACTAGGAGGATCCCGAGGACCTGGTGAGCCGCAGAGGAAGGGTCGATCGCTCCCTCCCGGAAGCGGCGGCCGCTCGGGACGCCGGACGGCGCGGCGCGGCGCGGGGCGGGGCGGGGCGGGGCGGGCGGCTGCGGCACTGGGGCTGCTGGGGCGGGCCCGCCGCGCTGTAATCGGATCCGGGGAGGGGGCGGGGCGGGGCCGGGCCAGGCGGGCCGGGGGGTGGGGGTGGGGGGCGCGGAGCCGGGCTCCGGGCCGGCCGGGCTCCGCGCCTGTCAAACCCCTCATTGTTCGCAGCTGATGTCACTCGCAGTTGTGAGCGGCCGCCTTTCCCGGGGACAATGTGGGACTGAGCGGCCCAGCCGCCGCGCCGCCGTTGCCGCCGCCGCAGAACAACCCCAGCGAGGTAAGGCGCGGTCCGGGCGGGGGCCATGAAGTTTGGGGGTTCGCTGGGGGGCGGAGAATCCTCTCCTGTGTGCACCGATCGCGGTCCTGGGGAGACTGCGAGGAACACGGTCCCTGTCCAATACGGCTGAGGCCTGCACAGGTGGGGGGCGTTGGTTTTCCAGGGGAACACCCCACTTCAGGGAGGGGTTTCTTGGACCTTGGGTACCAGGTTTGAGGCTCCCATCCTATTTGCTGTTTCTGTCCTTTGAGCTTGCTCTTAGTTCTGGACCTCATTCCCCAGGTTCGGTTTCTACTTCGTCTCTTCTCATCTGCCATTCTCTGCGGCTCCTGGCTCGCACACACCCCTTCCCATTCTCTGCAGCTCCTGGCTCGCACACACCCCTTCCCATTCTCTGCAGTCCTTGCAGGAGCCAGACAAGGACCTCCAGGCCAAGGGGGGGATGGAGATGATGTCTGGGAGCACAAAGTGGTCCCTCATTCCCTGTGGCTCTACATCTTCACCTCTGACCTAGCTTGTTGGCCTGGGTACTGTGGTGGGGTGGCGGTGAAGGGTCCACTTACTTCAACCTGGCCCTCAGGCATGCCTGGCCAGGAGAGGGAGGTGCCCACCTCCTCACTCTCCTAAACCAGGCCCGCCATCTTGAGACCTGTGGCACCCAGGGCCCCGCCCCACCCTGGCACCCAAGGGAATGGTCTTCAAGGGGATGTACCTTGGTCCACCCTGTCTCTCAGAATGTGTGGCTGTGGGTCCCCAGGATGGTTACCTTCTTGCTGGACCAACAAGGCATGTGCCTCCAGGGGCCCTTCTTCCCCCTATAAAGAGCTCTTAGAACCCAGGCGTTGGTCAGGAGTTGATCTCTGGCTTTTGATGTTCAGTGCGGTCACCCTGGTGGCCTCAGTGCCAGTACTGGGGGGGGGGGTCTATTGTTTCTTCATTTGAGAATATTATCCCTCTAGGTCCTGGAACCCCCTCAACTTTCGCAGCACCCCATCCCAGCCCCCACCCCTAGCCTTCATCAGCATGCAGGCTCAGGCTGCCCAAACACAAGGGGATTGTTCTCTTTGCACGCTCAGGGTGGGGGGCTGGGAGCCGCGGCCCACACACCCTGGCAGGCCCAGGCCGCAGAGGCTAGCCTGCCCCACCCTGTGTCCCCAGACAGGCTCGGTCCACCCTCCTGCTCTCCTCCAGCCTCCGTGACCGTTACTCTTGAAGGAAAGGGCTCTGAGCTGCGCAGGTGGACCCATGGGTTCTCCTGGCTTGCCTGTCACCACCAATGCGGTCTTCTAAACAACCCTCTTCCTCCCTAGGCCTCAGGTTCCTCTCTTGATTGGTGAGGCTTTTCTGGTTGTGATTGGCTGAACCCACCTCAGTGCTGTGAAACCTATCCGTCTCACTCTACAGCATTTCTACCAGCTCCTCTTGCTGCTAGGGGACCCACTCTGGTTTCTCAGAACTCTCAAATTCCTCACAAACGCCAGCAGGGACAGGCTAGGATGCTGAGCCGGAACCTGGAATTCTGACCAGGCATGTCCTGATGCTACCCATGTGCTGACAGCCCCAAGACTCTGAGGTGTGATGGTCTCTAATGTTACAAGGCCCGTGAGCCCCAGCCCTACCCCCTTCCAGGGCCAGGTCCTGTCTCAAATTTCCTATTCTTCTGTGGCAAAAGACAGGCCCAGAAAGGCCCCACTGGGCCTCCTTTGACTTGTAGTTGTGACTTTGGGAAGCACAGAGGCCAGAAGAATTTCATCTGATTTGAAAGGTTGGAGGGCTCCATGGAGGAGGAGGCATTCCAGAATAATTTTGCCAGATAGCGAAGGGGATAAGTATTTCAAGGCAGAATTGCAGCCAGGCAAAGGCTCTGTCTGAGGCCTGGAGGTTCTAGAACTATTTTGCGGCTTGGTATGTATAAGGAATGGGATAGAGATGCCATGCAACAAGAGGGGTTGGTAGGGGCTGGGCCATAGAGGTCGGACTTTACCCCCTGGGGCTCCGTGGTGGTTGTTAGACAGCAGAGTGAGCACACACTCTTCAGCATGGAGAATGGCAATTGGAGAGTTTTCTCAACTTGGTTAGACAGTAGTACTGAGCCCGGCCTGAGCCTGCCTTGGTTTCCCTCGGCTGTGAAGACTCTTGGGTGGCTCAAAGGAGAGGGGGATAGCATTTCTGATATCTACCAGTTTTATCAGTTTCTAACTCTTCTGTGTTCCTCCTCCCTGGCACTTTACCAGACAGACTTGAATCAAGAAACCAGAGCCTGCAACTGCTCCCCTAGTCTCCGTGTCCATCCCCCACCCCATCCCCCACCGTATCCTCCCTCCAAACTAGTGATGATTGACCATCCTGGGAGCCGAAAGGCTGAGCTGGGCCCCTGGGTCTAAGGATGCTGGGCAGTTCTCTGGGGACCAGGCTAATCAGCAAGGGTGAGCATGCCACAGAGTAGGGGATGGACAAGGGAACCAGGAGCTCTCAAGGCTGTCAATCCCCTCCTCAAGGCCCAATGGCCACCTTCCTGCCACACCCTGCCATGCCCGATGCTTAACCGTTCCCCAGCATCATCGGGTGTGGCCATCATGAGTGTTTTTGGAGTAAGCATTGAAAGAGACTGCTTAGGAGTGCTAAGGTGGGCATGAGACATGGAGTGAAGTTGGAGACTGGATTCTCCCAACCTCTGCAGCCCAGGTGGGTCCACAGTCTCTAGTGGTCCAGACACACTGGGCCGTAGAGCAGAGGGAATCCCCCAAGGGGCGGGCCAGCTTACTTAGTTCAACTGGCCCCAGGAGCCCTCCCCTCCCCTGGATTGTTCTTGCACTAGAACAAAGCCAGGGAGGACACTTGATCCCTGCTTGTGGGGGGGGGGGGAAGCTGGCTAAGCCCCCGGCCCTTTGATTGGGCAGCTGTCATGGGAGAGAGACAGCTGGGGGGGAGGGGCAGGAAGGGGGCAGTCACCATCGCTTACACAGCTGTCACCCCCCTCACAACCCCTCCATCCTGAGTGGCAGGAAGCCAGGTTCAGAAGGAGTAGGCACTCGGTCTGGGGAGGGGGCCTGGGAAGCAAGACCGAAGGCCCGAGGTCAGAGGATTGGTCTGAGAGTGGGATGTTCTGCCAGGGAGCTCTGCTGACCAGAGGGGGCTGGGCACCCTCAGAGGTGAGCTGGAGGTCAGTGTGGCATGATGTGTGGCTGCCACGTGGGTGGCCCAGCAGAGACGGGCCCACCAGACTGAAGCAGAAAGATACTCCTTAAAACCCCAGTAGAAGCAGGGCATCTGGTGATGAATGCCCAGCGGGGCTACTTGTGCTTAGGCCTCTGGGAAAAAGGCCTGGAGGGGCGTCAGCAGCCCTATTCTTCCCAAAAGATAGGAAAAACTCAAGGGTCTCTCAGAACAGGGTTATGGAGATACCGGCAACTCTCCCTTACCTGGACTCCCCTAACAATGCAGGTGGGTAAATCTAGATCCAGCACAGGGAAGAGCTAGGCCAAGGTCACACATTGAATTTGGGGCAGTGGATTTCTGCTGCAGACCTAGGCATCTTCGTAGCAAGACTAGCAGTTTCATTTCTCCTGGGGTCACAACAGATCTCCCACAGTTTATCACCCAATTTTGAGTCCACCGAATTCTGGAGGTTAAGATTCTATGGCCCAAGATAAGCCATCAGTGTTTTCCGAACAGATTTTTCCAAACATCCACTTGTTAGGCAGAAGCTCCCTGGGCCACTGAAGTCTAAGCCCCACTCAGGAAAGGGCTGAAAGACCAAGACTGCAACAGCCACAAATGGGACCCAGATGGAACCTGGTCCAGGTCGACAGGAGCTTGCTGGACCCCGTTCTTCCCTCTATACCCCTTCTTCCCATGACCTTGGGCAGGTTACAGACCCTCTATGCGTTAGGTTCCCCTTCTGTGGAACAAGTTCATCTGCTCCCGTCACTGGTCTG